CTAAACGGTCTGATGAGTTAGCTGTTAAGGATTCTTTGGTTCTCAGTGTTCAGTGTGCAGGTTCTGTGTCTAATATGGCCCAACGCCTATTTGCTCGAACCCGCCAAGTTGAATCATTGGCGGCTGAAGTGATGAGTCTCAAACAGGAGATTAGAGGGCTCAAGCATGAGAATAAACAGTTGCACCGGCTCGCACATGACTATGCTACAAACATGAAAAGGAAGCTTGACCAGATGAAGGAATCTGATGGTCAGGTTTTACTTGATCATCAGAGATTTGTGGGTTTGTTCCAAAGGCATTTATTGCCTTCGTCTTCTGGGGCTGTACCGCGTAATGAAGCTCCAAATGATCAATCTCTGATGCCTCCTCCTTCTAGGGTTCTGTCCAGTACTGAGGCTCCGAATGATCCCCCTCCGGTGCCTTCTCTTTCTGGGGCTCTACCGACTGCTGAGACTTCTCCTAAGCAACCTTTGTGAAAGCTCCCTCTTGTTTGTTTATTTTGACTCATGTATATGTACATATTTGTAACTTATCGGGGATATCAATAAATAAGCTTTCCTTCATTTCAACGTATTGTGTTAAATACACCAAAGCCTTCTTTGCTAAGTTCTTTGAATTTTCTTTTATTGAAGCTTGTATGTTGAAGCTTTGTGAGTGGAGCATGTAGGTTGAGGTAGTGTTCCCTTAATTTCTTGAGTGAGGAAAACTTCTCGGTTGGAGACTTGGAAAATCCAAGTCACTGTGTGGGATCGGCTATATGAATCTTAGAACACCATTGTGCTCGATCCTGTGTCATGTCCTTCATTAGATCCAAGTACTCTAAGTCTTTTCTTAGAGTCTCTTCCAAAGTTTTCCTAGGTCTTCCTCTACCCCTTCGGCCCTAAACCTCTGTCCCATAGTCGCATCTTCTAATCGGAGCGTCAGTAAAGGTGGCCTAAGAATCAGGCCAAAAAATCTGGAAGTGATCACCTAGTTGAGGAAGACTAGGTCTTTTCCTTTATCTTCAAAACCAAAATCTATTTGATAAAATACAAGTGGTCAACCATCAAAATAAGAAGGCTAGTTCCTGAATAAAACGATAACTATGGTTTTAAAATAAACACAAAGTTTCAACACTTATGTACACTGTGTTCTTCTCTCTTGCAAGCAATCACATCCACGGGATCATTCCAGAATCAGTATGCAAGGCGACATCTCTTCATGTTCTTGATATGTCCAATAATTCCTTTAGTGGCATGATTCCCCAGTGCTTAACTGCAAGGAACAGGTCTCTTGCAGTAATTAATTTAAGGAGAAACAAACTTTCTCGCACTCTTCCTGATAATTTTCCTCAGCACTGTAGTCTACGAAGTTTAGACCTCCATGGCAATGTGATTGGTGGTCAGTTCCCAAAATCTCTAGCCAATTGCACAATGTTAGAGGTGTTAAACCTGGGAAACAATCAGATAACAAATGTCTTTCCGTGCTTATTGATGAACATATCCAGCTTGCGTGTACTTGTCTTGCGTTCCAACAAATTTCATGATCGCATTGAATGCCTCAGCCTCAAGACCAATGGTCATTGGCCAAAGCTTCCAGTTATTGACATAGCTCACAACAATTTTAGTGGTGAACTACCAGGAAGATGCTGGAGAACCTGGCTAGCAATGATGGCTGACGAAGATGATGCCGAGTTTAAAATTGCCTACGACATCTTGAGTCCTTGGACCTTTCGGACAACAGATTGAGCGGAACAATTCCAGCAGAGTTTTCCAAACTTAATTTCCTCTCGTTCCTGGATCTCTCAAACAATCAACTAGTTGGGAAGATTCCAACCGGCACTCAGATTCAGTCTTTTTCAGCAGATTCTTTCGCAGGCAATAAAGGATTATACCTGCCACTGTTGAATTTTTGATGTGTATTTCATATCAAAACAATTACAAGATGAAACATTATATAGGAAAAGAAAGAGAACATAAGCCTAACTTGCCTAACTTGCCTAACTTGCCTAATTTCCTAACTTGCCTAACTTGCCTAATTTACACAAAGAAGGTTGACTAGCCTAACTTCACTAGTCATCCAACATGTTTATTTCATGCATGCATTTTAACAAAAGATATGACTTGCATGCATTCCAACACTCCCCCTCAAGCTGGATCGAGGGGATTCCTTGAGCCAAGCTTGGACAGAATGCGCATGAACTGAACCGTAGGAAGAGGTTTAGTAAAAATAACGCTTTGCTTCTTGCTGCGCCATGTTACCAAATTCCCACTTGAAATGGCTTCGTGCCGCAAACAAACAGTAATGGCTTCGTGCCGCAAACAAACAAACTTGAAATGGCTTCGTGCCGTAAACAAACAGTAATGGCTTCGTGCCGCAAACTTGAACAACGTTAGGTAGAGCTAAAGCATCCATCGAGCTCTCAGCTTCATAATGTTCTCCAGCCATCTTGGCTTAGAGTAAATGTTCTCCAACCATCTTGGCTTAGAGTAAATGTTCTCCAGCCATCTTAGCTTAGAGTAAAAGTTCTCCAACCATCTTGGCTTAGAGTAAAAGTTCTCCAGCCATCTTGGCTTAGAGTAAAAGAAACTTAGCGGAAACGATCAACAGAGCATCCATCGAGAACTCAGCTTCATAATGTTCTCCAGCCATCTTGGCTTAGAGTAAAAGAAACTTAGCGGAAACGATCAATAGAGCCAGGAATTTCGAGTTCCTGCTCTGATACCATGTTGAATTTTTGATGTGTATTTCATATCAAAACAATTACAAGATGAAACATTATATAGGAAAAGAAAGAGAACATAAGCCTAACTTGCCTAACTTGCCTAACTTGCCTAATTTCCTAACTTGCCTAACTTGCCTAATTTACACAAAGAAGGTTGACTAGCCTAACTTCACTAGTCATCCAACATGTTTATTTCATGCATGCATTTTAACAAAAGATATGACTTGCATGCATTCCAACCGCCACCATTAGATGACGGATCAGCAAGGTTGTCACCAAAATTAGAAGGCAAACAAATTCTGCGCAAGGAATTGATTGGGATCTGATATGTGTTGAAATTGGATTTATTGTTGGCTTTGGAATAGCTAGTGGATCAATTTTGTTTTGCAAGAGATGGAGTAAATGGTATTACAAAACTATGTATCACATTCACGTTAAGATATTCCCTCAGATGGAGGAAAGATTTGGCCCTCATCGAAGACATGCTCACATACACCAAAGGTGGACGCGTTGAAACGATTTTGAAGAACAATACAAGTGCTTGCAGTCACGTTTTCTCTTGAACTGTTTTGTATTCTGAGTTGTAAAGCTCCAACAGATGGGATTGAACCCCGTCGAAAGAAACGGTTCGTGGCACAAGCTTTGTAAGCCTCCTCTGCTAGAGTCTACTTGTCGGTTAGTTCCTTACTTGGCTAGTTGTTGACAGTATATTTCGTCTGTGTTTATTAAGTGTTTGTGCTATTTTACCAAAGAAATATCTCAAAAACTTAGCTCTCATACTTTCAAACATATTATATAATAATGAGCAATAATTTCAACCCTTTTACTATTATTTAATAATTATGGTGTTTTTTTTTTCTTCATATGTTTAATCTTTACTGCAGCCTCCTTCCTTGTTACTGAGATCAATATATCTTAATCGAGATTTATATCTTATGTACAAATTAATTCAAAATCAGAACAGTCATAGGTTTGAAATTTTCAATGAGAATGACAGAATGAAAACATCACAAATAAATTTCATGGATAAGGTTTGACTAGCAAAACAAAATAATAATAATAGAAAATAAAAGTTTGATAGCATTTCTTACATAAGAGATGTTGGTACTTTTTTTTTTTTTTTTGAACAAATGCATTTTTAATTTTAAATAAACTAATTATTTGTTAGTAAGAAATTAAGATGGAGTCTTTTAGCCTTCTTCTTATGTAGCTATTGTAACTCTTTTTTTGTTAATTTGTTATTACCCTATTCACCACACTATGTTTGGATAAGAGAAATCAACTTGAAATTTCAACAAAACTCATAATTTAGAAATTAATACGAACCAATTATATTGTTTGGATTCGTAAACATAGAAATTTAGAATTTCCGTGTAGAATAAAAACTTGGAATTTGAGACCTCTAATTTCCAAGTTTAAATTCCTTATAAATGTGTCATTCCAAATTTCTACAAGTGAAAGGTTAAATAAAAGTTTATGTCTTTGTTCTATTAGGTTAACCAAACAAAAAAATTGACAATTCAAGAAAATAAAATTTCGTCATTTTTATTTCCGTTTAAAATTCTTTAGTAATTTTAAATTTTTTCATCCAAACCGTCCCTAAAGGTGATAATAACCCTATAATTATTAGCATTTTCTCCATCATCATTTTATTCATTATTAACTACCCAATCTTTTCTGTAAGTATTATTCTCTCCATTTGCTTCATCTTTTCTATTTTTACTTATTGGCTAAAGAAGGGTGTTCGTGTGGTGGATCTTTGGACTTTTTACATTTGTTCTAAGACATGTTTACATGATTTTCAAGCTTTCTGTTAATTAACAATCGGTGTTTGTGGCAAACGAAACATCTGTTCCTCTTGAGGGTAATGACAAGATTAAATTCTTTAACTCCGATATCGAGTCCCCTGTACTTTACATCTCTGCATTTTCAAATCAATTGTTATTAGTGGGAAAGATAGCTAGAATGTTAAACTGTTTTGCATTTATCCCATTTGTTATTAGTAGAACCCATGTATCTGAATGTGGGTATCACTCAGTTTCTGTAAGCTTTAGCCCCGTTGTAGGGCCAAATTTTACCCTCTCTTCTCCACTCAAGATTCAGTCAACATTGAATAAAATAGCCTACATTTAAAACCCCACAAGGGATATGGGGAAAGACTTTGAAGTCAACAAGTCAAGCAAACCACAACCAACTAACCAGTCACTTGCCCTTTCAACACTTTGATTTTTCTCTTGCCCGTTCAACATTTTGATGCCTTTTTTATTTCAACCCATGAATATATGCCAACAACTAAGACCAAATTGGTGTTTGGTTCACACACCATTACACATTCTTCAGATGCATGCGTAATCATTCCCACCAAAAAACAAATTAAATTTACAAAGAAGAATAACTAGGGACCTGCCTAATCTGTTCCTTCCTTACATTTGGTGTCACATATCAGCAACAACTTCCGATGAAAACTCCTCTGCTTTCATGGCTTTTCTTACTCCGCATTTGCTATGTTTCACTCACCTTCCATACGCTTGTGGTCTCTACCCAATGTCCCGGCGATCAGCAATCTTTGTTGCTAAAATTGAAGAACACCCTCGCATTTAACCATACAGCGTCTAAAAAACTTGTGAAGTGGAAGAATGGATCGGATTACTGCTCTTGGGAAGGAGTGTCCTGCAAAAAGGGTTGTGTTTCGAATCTGGACTTGAGCAGCGAGGCGATTACTGGTGGACTTGATAATTCCAGTTCTCTTTTCGGTCTGAAGTCAATCGAGAACCTGAATTTGGCTTACAACAACTTCAAATACACTCAGATTCCTACCGAGTTCAAGCAGCTAACGGGTTTGACCAATCTGAACTTGTCGAATGCTGGCTTTGCGGGGCAGGTTCCGATTGAGATTTCACACCTTACGAGGTTGGTAACTCTTGATTTGTCTACCTTATATTTCCCCGGATTTCCTTCACTGAATCTTGAGAAGCCGAATTTGAATGTGCTCATTCGGAACTTTTCTGAGCTTCTTGAACTTTATCTTGATGGAGTGAATATATCAGCACAGGGGAATGAGTGGTGCCAAGCTATATCATCTTCACTGCCAAAATTGAGGGCGTTGAGCTTGTCCAATTGTAATCTTTCAGGCCCTATTGATAGTTCATTACTGAAGCTTCACTCACTCTCGGTTATTCGTTTAGATTACAATGATTTCTTTATTCAAGTTCCAGAGTTCTTCTCAAAGTTCCCAAATTTGACTTCCTTGCACCTACGTGGTTCTTGCTTATATACATGTTCTAGCTTATATGACAGAGGTTCTTGCTTATATGGTACATGTGCTGGCTTATATGGTACATTCCCAGAGAAGATCTTCCAGGTACCTACACTACAGACTATTGATTTGTCAGGCAATCAACAGCTTCAGGGTTCCTTACCAGAATTTCCAAAGAATGCATCTCTTCGGTCCTTGGTTTTAAGCGGAGCTAACTTTTCAGGGTTACTACCAAACTCTATTGGCAACCTCAAAATGTTGTCCGAGATAGATATTTCGTGGTGCAGTTTCACTGGATCAATCCCAAGGTCAATAGAAGACCTTCATCAATTGGTTTATTTTGACATGTCAGTCAACAAGTTCAATGGTTCAGTTCCATCCTTCAGTTTGGCCAAGAATCTGATCATGATAAATCTTTTTCACAATCAACTAACGGGTCAGATTAATTCCACTCACTGGCAAAACCTTACTAATCTGATGTATCTCGACTTGAGATCCAATCAATTAGATGGGACTGTTCCACTATCTCTTTTTTCTCTTCCCTTGCTGCAAAAGCTACAGATTTCCAAGAATCACTTCTCTGGTCAGTTGCCTGAATTTGCTAATAACTCTGTACTGGACACCCTTGATTTAAATAGCAACAATTTGGAAGGCCCAATTCCCATGTCCATTTCTAATCTCCGAGGGCTAAAGATTATTTCACTTTCTTCAAACAACTTCAGTGGGTCGTTTCCTCTCAGTGCTCTTCGACAGATAAGAAATCTTTCGAGTCTTGATCTGTCATACAACAGCTTGTTGATTACTTCTGCTGATATTAATTCCTCTTATTCTTCCTTTCCTCAACTTACCACATTGAAATTGTCTTCTACAAAGTTGAGAGAATTTCCGCATTTCTTGAGAAATCAATCAAATTTAGGCACTTTGGACCTATCACAAAACCAGATTCATGGTGAGATACCCAACTGGATTTGGAGGCTCATTAATCTTTCTGAACTAAATCTTTCTTGCAACTCCTTAGTAACACTAGAAGGTCCTTTACTTGGATATCCTCCTTCTCTGTCTATGCTTGACCTTCATTCCAACCAGCTTAAGGGACAAATTCCAATGCTTCCACAATTGGCCACTTATCTAGATTACTCAAGAAATAATTTCAGCTCAAGCATTCCGGCTGACATTGGTGATTTCCTTATGTACACTGTGTTCTTCTCTCTTGCAAGCAACAAGTTAAATGGAAGCATTCCAGAATCAATGTGCAAGGCACCATATCTTCAACTTCTTGATCTGTCCAGTAATTCCTTAAGTGGCATGATTCCCCAGTGCTTAATTGCAGGAAGCAGTTATATTGGAGTACTTAATTTAAGGACCAACAACCTTACTGGTGCTATTCCTGATAAATTTCCTCCATCCTGTAGTTTGCAAACGGTAGACCTGAATGGAAATCAGATAGGAGGCCAATTTCCAGAATCTCTAGGCAACTGCAACCAGCTAGAGGTGTTGAACCTTGGAAACAATCAGATCACTGGTACTTTTCCACGCTCTTTAAACAAAATGCCCCTATTACGTGTCCTTGTTTTTCGATCAAACAAATTTTATGGGCGCATTAGATGTCCTAAGACCTATGGCAGCTGGCCAAAGCTTCAAATTATTGACCTAGCACACAACAATTTCAGTGGTCATATACTCGGAAGATGCTTGAAAACCTGGCAGGCGATGATTGCCGACGAAGGTGCTGGCCTGTCACAACTCGACCACATCAAATTTCAGGTCCTATCATCACTCTCTCAGATATATTACGACGATAAAGTATTTGTTACCACCAAAGGTCTAGAGATGGAGCTGGTGAAGATTTTGACTATCTTCACCTCAATTGACTTATCGGGGAACAAATTCACCGGATCAATACCTGTGGAAATGGGAGAACTCAAATCGCTCTATGTCCTCAACTTGTCTAGTAATGCTCTAACAGGTGAAATCCCATCATCTTTGGGCAACTTACAACATGTTGAGTCCTTAGACTTGTCGAACAACAGCCTGAGCGGGAAAATTCCATCACAGCTCACAAACCTCACTTTCCTTGCATTCTTGAATCTCTCAAACAATGAACTGACCGGAAGGATCCCAACCTGCACTCAGTTTTCGACATTTCCAGCAGATTCCTTTGCAGGCAATGAAGGGTTGTGGGGGCCTCCTTTGACAGGTTATATCCCCTCAGGATTGCCACTACCAGCACCACTGAAAAAAGGTCATTCTAATGCTCGGCCTGAAATTGATTTTGATCTTATAAGTGCTGAGATTGGATTTATCTTCGGCCTTGGAGCTTTCATCGGGCCTCTCGTGTTCTGTAAGCGATGGAGGATATGGTATTACAAAACTGTGGAGAACATCTTCTTCAAGATATTCCCTCGTCTGGATAGAAGAAGCGGTTACAGAGGAAGACATGTTTACATAAACAGATTTTGGAGATAAACTCACACTCAATCATGCTTGGCTTGACCAAAACCCTATCTTTCTGGTTTCAAATTTTCATTTCCTAGCAAATAAGAAGCCGTCTGATCATATCGACGAGCTGATCTTGTTCTTAGTAAGATAAATGCATGTTAAAGTTCTGAATACATTAGCTTCTTGTTGAATTGCTGATTCGTCGAATATTGTAACGTAATCTTAATGTTTTGTGTGAACTGTGCTTGTTTAAAGCAAAACACTTCTTTCAGTTTTTATTCTTGTAAAGTTTGGATGAATGTGAAGTTTCAGTTTTTGTTCTTGTGAAGCTTCAACTTCTTCGGAATTTATTAAAACTTTGATCTCATTTATTGACACGGTTAATTGTTTCAGGATGTAGAGTCATAAATTTAGAAATTATACTTTCTAGCATCAATGGTTAATAGCGTCACTGCCCACAATTTGATAGTTCAAACCTAAAATCGAACCCTCAATAATCAACCGGATCGAAATTGAAGGAAAATTGTAGAACCTCAGAGTAGACATGTAGATGAGTGATCCAACTGATAAGCTAAGAAATCAAGTCTCCCTTGTTAGTGACAACATATCTACCTTTGCCTAAAGGGCAGAAAGATTCAGGGTATCCTAGTCTAAGGGAAACCAGGGTAGTTGGGGTAGGGCGCATCGCATGGGACCATATTTTTGACCGTTTAAGGCAGAATAAAAATCCAACTCCAAAGACTCCAAAACTGGGGGGCCATACGTAGTACATGTACCACTCAACGACTCCTTTTGCTTGTCTGGACTCTAAATTGGTATGGAACTCCAATCATTACCCTTGTTCATTAACCTTTGTGTATGTGCTTATTTCCCTCGATTTTTCCTCGTATATTTTGGTGTGAACACTGTTTTATGAGTTCGGGCAGGTTTGGTATTGCTTATGATTGTGCTCGGTAAAAAATGTTAGTGTTTATTGATCTTAAAAGCGTTTTTGGAGAAAACACTTGTACTTATTTGAAAGGCACTTTCTAGTATTTTGTAGGAAAGCACTTGGAGTTTTATTTAAGTAAACTTGTTTCTAATAAAAACACTTCTAGCAAAAGTGTTTAAGAACAAAAATGTTTCCTACAAAAATAGTCCTCGAGCTCGCAGTCTTTTTTATATGCAGATCATAGTATGATATAACAAAATAACTAATTTATGTCACCAAAAAGAAAAGTTAAAGCACTCCACATTAGAGCTAAGTATTGGGCTAGATTCCCCCTAGAAATCAAGCATGGCTTAACCTATTTTGAACTCACCAAACTGTCATATTTTTATTTTATTTTATTTTATTTTATTTACTTATAATTCAACATCTATGATAAAATGAGATTAAATTTGATGGTAAAAAATATTTGATGGCCCAAAATTAAATCTAATGCCTAAAATAATTTAAAAAAAATCATTTAAATCAAATTTCACTTACAACTTTATAAATACCTATGTATTTTTAATTAAAATTACTTATGGGAATTTAAATATGTTTAGGTTAAAATGTTCATAAAAATAAATTAGGATAATCTACATCAATTTTATTTTCAAAAAAGTTATTGACAAAAAATAATTAGGCTAAAATTATTATTTAATAATATCAGACTAAAATTTTAAGCCATAATCATTGGAAGAAAAAAACAATTTCCTAGTTATGGCTTAAAATTTTAAACTTTATCTTCAAGCGTTGGAGATGGTCTAATAAAGATACGACTCACATGTGTTGGTGCATCTATTAGAAAGGTGATACAAATATAATATAAAAATATATTATTAATAAGCGGATAATGTTAGGAATACCAATTTTTTAAACCAAATTTGCAAATCAAATAATATGGTTGAAGATGATTGGATTATTAATTAAATGTCGATTAACGTACTTATTACTTATTGGTGACACATTATTTAGTTTAAAAAATTAATCTCCTCAACATTACTAACAGTCATCTCAACTTTATCAAACTCCATGGCTAAATGTCAAACTTTACCGCCAACTTTGCATGACTTTTGCTCTTTACCAACAATGACAATGAAATCACCTACAATATCATCCATAATTAAAAATATAACAAATAAATAATAAACTTGTCCTTCTTTTCAAAGATTGACCTCCAATTCAAGATGTTTGACTCATCAATGATTTCACACTATAAATTAGGTAATATTTTTACTTACCTTCCTCGAAGACATACTCATCATCTTATTCATCATTGTTAATAAGTTTAAATTTTGAGTTTTGTGTCTATTTGTTCTTCTTTTCAAAGATTGATCTCCAATTCAAGATGCCCGACTCATCAATGATTTCACAAATAAATTAGGTAATATTTTTACTTACCTTCCTCGAGTAATATAGATACTCATCACCTTATTCATCATTGTTAATAAGTTTAAATTTTGAAATTTGTGTAGTGGATAGACACAAATCTCAAAATTTAAAATCATCCAATGATAATAAGCATGGTGATAACATCATTTCTACTTGAACGTGATGAGCAAAAATGCACCTAAAATTATAGACATAAATTTTAAAATTTAAACTCATTCAACAGTAATAAGTACAATGATAACATCACTATCACTTAACTAGGTGAGCAAAAATGCACCTAAAATTTATGGATTTAAAGAAAAACTAATAAAAAGAGCTTGAAAACTTTGAGTTCTAACGATAAGGACAAAATAAATGGTAAAATGAATAGTATCAGGATTGACTTTTTAGTGTAAAAATGTGATTTTTCGTTAAAGTGAACAGTACCGGAAGTTTTTTATTAAAATTCCCTAGATTTAATCCTTTGGCACTGAAATCAACATTTCTTACCAAGAAAATGATGCATTCCAAATTAAAAATTCACGTGTTCATTGTTTAACACGAAAAGCACCAATTTAAAAACCAAAATAGCGAAGACATTTGGTACATAAGAACGTACACACAGTTTTTTCAGGCTATAAATTATTTAAGGATGATAATGGTCTGGTTTTGCAACAACCAGGCCTTACAATAATTGATTAATTAATATGTGAGAGACAACCACCGTTTGGTCAGATTTGAAGACTGATTCTTCTAGTTATTCTATGATTTTGAATAAACAAACAAAACAAAACAAAAAAAAAAGATTCTATGATTTTGTTTTCCAAGAATTATTTTAACTTTAAATTAATAAAATCAATTAGTTTTCGGTTTAAGGATAGTAGTCTGCACCTGATTTCATGAGTTTGATACTTGATTGTGACATTCATTTACTTCATATGCGTTGGTCCGTAATACAGAAAAATTCTTTAACATGAAAATGATCTTTTTAGTTTTTAAGTAACAAATTTGGGCCAATCAAAGTGATACTATACCCCAAAACAATAGGCAATGACAATAATTGAAATTAAAGTTGTATAAAAATTGACTAGAAGTGAACTTTTCTTAGCACGCAGACAAGACGGCTTACACAAAGTCCAACCGTTGTAATAATATCTCTACAAATTTCCTATTTTTCTATAAATTTAAAACAAAAGGATTTATCCAAAAATCTCCAAATGCATAACGCATGCCACTTAAAATTTGGATCAACAAAGGCAATCGTTATTTTTCCACAATTAAAAAATAATAATAATCAAAGGCCGCCCAATTAAGAACGAGTCCACATTATACAAAACACGCGTTTCTGAGTCTTCTTTCAAATCCCCATCCCAACAGTTCACTCCGCTTTTTTCTTCCTCCTTGCTCTTCCCTCTAAACTCTTCGTCCTTCCGTGCTAACTCCGCTAGATTTTCGTCCGGTCAAGGACTCGAATCCACGGGCCAAAAGGGTTTTTTCATGGATGTTTGCCTTCATGTATCCATTGAGAAAATCCTAGCCTGCTCTGCTTCCTTTTTTCTGAGCTTTCAATGAGAATTCCTCTGTTTTCATGGCTTTTCTTAATACCCTTTTACTACTTTTCACTCAGCATCAACATATTTCTTGTCTCCGGCCAGTGTCCCGGGGATCAGAAATCTTTGTTGCTACAATTGAAGAACAGCCTCGTATTTGACACTGCAACATCTAAAAAACTTGTGAAGTGGAAGAATGGATCGGATTACTGCTCTTGGGAAGGAGTGTCCTGCAAAAAGGGTTGTGTTTCGAATCTGGACCTGAGCGGCAAGGCGATTAGTGGTGGACTTGATAATTCGAGTTCTCTTTTCAGTCTGAAGTCAATCGAGAACCTGAATTTGGCTTACAATAACTTCAACTACACTCAGATTCCTTCCGAGTTCAAGCAGCTAACCCGATTGATTAATCTGAACTTGTCAAATGCTGGCTTTGCGGGGCAGGTTCCGATTGAGATTTCGCACTTGACGAGGTTGGTAACTCTTGATTTGTCTACCTTTTATTTCCCCGGAACTCCTTCGTTGAATCTTGAGAATCCGAAATTGAATGTGCTGCTTGCGAATTTTTCTGAGCTTGTTGAACTTTATCTTGATGGTGTGAATATATCAGCACAGGGGACCCATTGGTGCCAAGCGATATCATCTTCATTGCCAAAACTGAGGGTGTTGAGCTTGTCCACTTGTAATCTTTCAGGCCCTATTGATAGTTCACTGCTGAAGCTTCAGTCTCTCTCAGTTATTCGTATTGAGAACAACAATTTGTCTACTAAAGTTCCAGAATTCTTCTCGAATTTCCCGAATTTGACTTCCTTACGAATGGTGAATTCTGGATTACATGGTGCATTCCCAAAGAAGATCTTCCAGGTACCTACACTGCAGACTATTGACTTATCTGATAATGCGCAGCTTCAAGGTTCCTTACCAGAATTTCCGAAGAATGGATCTCTTCGATCCCTGGTTCTCAATGGGGCAAATTTTTCAGGCCAGTTGCTTCCAAACTCTATTGGGAACCTCGAATTCCTGTCCAAAATAGATATTGCAACTTGCAATTTCACTGGATCAATCCCGAAGTCAATCGAAGACCTTACGCAGTTGGTTTATCTGGACTTGGCGACGAACAAGTTCAATGGTTCAGTTCCATCCTTCAGTATGGCCAAGAATTTGACCCTAATAAATCTTTCCTACAATCAGCTAACGGGTCAGATTAATTCCTCGCACTGGGAAAACCTGACTAATCTGGTGAATCTCGACTTGCGACACAATCTACTTGATGGGACTATTCCGTCATCTCTGTTTTCTCTTCCTTTGCTGAAGAAACTACAGCTTTCTAACAATCAATTCTCTGGTCTGCTGCTTGAATTTGCTAATAACTCTGTACTGGACACCCTTGATTTGAGTAGCAACAAGTTGGAAGGTTCAATTCCCAAGTCTATCTTGAATTTCCAAGGGCTTAAGATTCTTTTACTTTCTTCAAACAACTTCACTGGCTCTTTCCTTCTGAATGATATTCAGCAGTTAAGAAATCTTTCGAATCTTGATCTTTCTTTCAATAGCTTGTCTATTAATTACAATGACATCAATTCCTCTCCTTCTTCATTTTCAAATATTACCACATTGAAGTTAGCTTCTTGCAATTTGAGAAGAATCCCAGGTTTCTTGAGAAGTCAATCAACATTAAACACTTTGGACCTATCAGAAAACCAGATTCATGGTGAGATACCCAACTGGATTTGGAAGTTGAGTAGTCTTAGTCAACTAAATCTTTCTTGCAACTCTCTGGTAAATCTACAAGGTCCTTTCCTCAATCTTACTTCTAATATGTCTGTGCTTGACCTTCATTCCAACCAGCTTCAGGGACAAATTCCATTGCTTCCAAGATTGACCATTTATATGGATTACTCAAGAAATAATTTCAGCTCAAGCATTCCGGCCAACATTGGTGATTTCCTTATGTACACTATGTTCTTCTCTCTTGCAAGCAACAAGTTAAATGGAAGCATTCCAGAATCAATGTGCAAGGCACCATATCTTCAGGTTCTTGATTTGTCCAATAATTCTCTGAGTGGCCCGATTCCCCAATGCTTGACTACCATAAGCGGTGGGACACTGGCAATACTTAATCTAAGGAGAAACAGACTTAATGGTTCTGTTCCTGATGGATTTCCTCAGCATTGCAGTTTAAGAACTCTTGACCTCAATGGAAATCAGATAGAAGGTAAATTTCCAAAATCTCTTGGCAATTGCAGAATGCTTGAGGTTTTAAACATTGGAAACAATCAGATAAGAGATACCTATCCTTGCTTGTTGAAGAAGATATCCTCCTTGCGTGTCCTTGTTTTGCGATCCAACCGTTTTTATGGACACATGGTATGCAACAAAATCAGTGGTACCTGGCCAAAGCTTCAAATTGTTGACATAGCTCGCAACAATTTTAATGGTGAAATACGAGGAAGATGCTTGAGAACCTGGAAAGCAATGATGACTGATGAAAGTGATGCCAAGTCAAAAACTAATCACCTTCGATTTCAATTTCTAAAGTTCAGTCAGGTATACTATCAGGATGCTATAACAGTTACAAATAAAGGTCTGGAAATGGAGTTGGTAAAGATTCTAACTGTTTTCACCTACATTGACATCTCATGCAACAACTTTAGTGGATCAATACCTGCGGAGGTGGGAGAACTCAAATCCCTCTATGGCCTCAACTTGTCCATCAATTCTTTCACAGGCCCAATCCCATCATCATTAGGTAACCTACGACAACTTGAGTCGTTAGACCTTTCAAACAACAGCTTGAGTGGGCAAATTCCAGTGGAGTTTGGGGGCCTTACTTTCCTTTCTTTCATGGATGTCTCAAACAATCAACTGGTCGGGAAGATACCAATCAGTACCCAGATTTCAACATTTCCAGCGGAGTCCTTCGCAGGCAATAAAGGATTATGTGGGCCACCTTCACTTGTAAAATGCAGTGATACCAACGTGTCACCAAATGCAGCACCAAAGGGTCGAGACAAAGCATCAAAAGTTGAGTTTGATTGGCAGTCCATATATACTGGAGTGGGTTATGGAGTGGGAGGAGGAGTCGTTGTTATCCTCTTAATGGTGTGGGAAGAAGGAAGAAACTGGTTAGAGGACAGCATTGACAAAATTCTTCTGGTAATTCTTCCAATGATGGGATATTCTTACAGAACTCATGACGAATGGGACGATGATGAGGAGGACGAAGATTCCGAAGAAGAGAGCACATATATCATGCAAGACTATAGCGGAGACGAGATTGATTCAGAAGACAGAGTGTTTCGGGGTCCATATTGTGTGTTTTGTTCAAAACTTGATATAAGTAGGAAGAGGGCCATCCATAACCCAAACTGTACATGCAGTTTTTCACCACCTATTACATCATTTTCTTCCTCTTCCTACTCATTTTCTCCATAGACACAGCGTTTTTGTTTTCGACTTTCTTCTCTATTTCTTCACATTTCTTCTTAATTTTTACTTTTTCTGGTGTTACAGTTTCATATAATTATAAACCCCGAAATGCCGGTGAGGACTTTCATCAAACAGGTGGTAAGCCATTAAACTAGTACACCAAATAAGCGTCTACAAGTTAAGTTTTTAGGGTAAGTACCTGAACAGAAGTGCGCCATTGATGCTCTCTCTCCCTTCTTTACAAAATGTGGTGCGCGGCATGGCAAAGTTTTGAATTTGTTCGATTTGCTACGGTTCTCGCCCGTGGCTCTTGCGACGGAGTCGTTGTTGGACGTTAAAACTTAAAAACGAACAACTGTATGGGCCATATAAAGATGCATCTGGGCTTACTATAAGCCCAATGGATAGTTGGAAAGTATCGTGTAAAAGCAAATTTTCCAACAAAAAGGAAGAAAAACATTTCAATTAGGTAAAACATATTGGGAATCAATCATGTTTTTTATTTACTTCTTATATGATTGAAGCTACAATTTAATTTTTTTTGCCCGATAAAATTAGAGGAAATGAACATAACTTACCAGTTTCAACCAGACTCAAAAGGAGTAGATAATCGTGGTTACTAGTTGTCATTTAAAAAAAAAAAACAAAGAGAAAGAAAGACATTAGGAGGACCAGTTCCACTTGATATGTGCTTCGTGCATTCTTATCAGCTTTTTCATGTCTAACGTTGAGGGCTCGTTTAGTAATACTTAATTATGTACTAAACATTGTTGCTCATAATCGTTTTTGCTAAACATTGTTTTATTTTCTAGCCGGCTACATGACATTACACACTACCAAAGTATTTCGTTTTTTTGGGAACTGTGCGCCATTTTTGTTATTTTTTATTTTTCATACAAGTGCTATAAGGAAATTTAGGAGAAATTTTTTATTGTGTCTGTAACACGGGTGTTATATCACGTGTCATTATATAAGTGGAGGGAAGTTTATATTTTAAGTTGTTAATTTTTTAACACAAATATTTCACCATTTTTTTAGTGACACGTGGTATATTATCCAATGTTCCAAATACATTTATTTTTTTCTCAAAATCTAGGTTGGTTCATGATTTTTATTATGCATTAATATATGGTTAAAACAAGGGAGCTTTAACGAAAAGCTTCCAGCAATGTTAACTTTAACGAAAAACCACATTTTTACTCTAAAAAGTCAATCCTAGTACTATTCACTTACAACACCTTTTTGTCTTTTTCGTTAAAACTCAAAGTTTTCAAGTCATTTTCATTAGTTTTCCTGTAAAAGAACCTATCAAATGCACCCAACATAATTTGATGGACAGTCGCCTCTCTCATTGTTCTCTCAAAAACGAATTTAGAATTTGTTTGGCAAGTGCTTTTAACTAACCCAATTAACCGTATCTAGGGGTGGGCAAACGGGTACAGGAACCGCGAGTCGGGGCGGGTAATTAAGGTTCGGGGCGGGTACGGGCCGATTCCAATTATTTAATAGGGGAAACGGGGCGGGCCGGGGCGGGCCCTTGATATTTTAGGGGCGGGCCGGTTCCAAATGTATAGAAAAACGGGGCCCCGGACGGGCCCGTTTTTAGACCAAATGGACGAACGAGATTGAAAAGGAACATAACGTCCAATCTTCACCGTTGATTTTACCCTAGTCTACTCTCTCTCTCTCCTCTCTGATCGACTTCGACTTCTCTGAATCTGTCTTCTTCGGTTCTTCCGCTCTTCCGCAGCTCCGTTGTTCCGTCTTCGAACCTCTCCGTCTCTCGCCGTCATGCTCTGCCGTCTGTGACTCAAGTCACTCAAATGTCTCTCCTCTCTGATCGAGTATTCTTCGATTCTTCTCCTCGACGACATCGGACATCCTACCCAGACTTAAAGAACCCAGGCACCCGCGGTCCCACACCACCCATCTTCTCGTTCTCCTTCTTTCGTCCCCAACGACATTACCGTCTTCGCGACCACGAACACTCCATCGCCGCCGCCAGTTCGGGTGAATTCTTTACTGTTTGCTGAATTCTTCTATTTTTTGTGTTCTTTGGTATATATTTTGGGGAAGAATTGTTAATTGTGTGGATTTTGGACCAATTTGGTAATTGTTTATCTAATTGGTGATCTGGGTTCTTCAGGATTTTGGTGGCTCGGGCTTCCGCATTCTCCTTTCTTTTGGACTCGTATATGGAAGCATCTTCTCAACTGCTCAAGTATCTCCAGACTCCAGGTACCTCCTTTCCTTTTTTTTATTTCAATTGACGCACCTTTTTATTTTATGAGATAAATTTTTTTTTATTACAAATTTGTATTGGGTTGGTTTAAATTTGTTCTTTGTATGATTCCTTGTTCTGATGTCTTCTGATTGAGGTGGTATGAGGCTGTGCAGCTGCTGTGTTTTTTTTTTCTTCATAATGATTTTATTAAAAGGAGATTTTAAATGACTGATGCTGTGGGGGTTCTGTGAGTGTGAGTCGATAAGTGTTTCGAGTTGTTTTTGGTTTTAGATGGAAAGGTATCAAATGAGAGACAACCAAATGTCTGCATTGTAATATATCTTTGACACCAGGTTTTTGGTTTCTGAGATACTGTTGAATACTTTGACTAAGATAACAGTCACTGCCACTATCTTCTTTTAGGACATTTTCAATGCTCAATTATCTCGTATGTGAATGTGGAAGAAGCGAAAAAGTGGTGAGGAATTAGCTCATTCATCATGTAAAAGTTGAATGAATGAATGTTGAAACCCTAGCCAGTGTAATTACCATATTGCCAATCTTTGTTGGCTGTGCTAACTGCCAGAATCAAAGCAATTTGTGCAATCTGTGCAGTTTTTTCAAACTGGAATTTGTGCAATATGTGCAATTTTTTTCAAACTGCAATCTATGATTTTTTCCAAACTGGAATCTGTGTAAACTGTAAACTGGAATCTGTGCAGTTTTTTCACACTGCAATCTGTGCAGCAAACATTTTTAAATAGCAAAAAAAAAAAAAAAAAAAAAGACCCGTGTACCCGGACCGAACCGGCCCGTTTCAATCGGGCCGGGTAAGGTCCGGTTCTTATTTTCAGAATTGTAATGCCCGGCCCGGCCCGCCCCGTCTCCTTTAATTCCGGGTCCGGTCCGGTCCCTTCAAAAATGGGCCCGGCCCGGCCCGTGCCCAGCCCTAACCGTATCATTTGATGGAACTTGCGGTGTGACCTATCCAATCCCCTTAGGTCATCTCCATTGGAGATGGTTAAAGGTTCAAAAGCCAAAAAATAACCTGATTTGTCCAAAAATTCATTTTCAATCGATGGTTGGGCTATAATTTTGTGGAGCCCACCAAGCCATTATATGACCAAAGAGGTATCAAACTAGCCAAATATACCCTTCCTCTTAGCCTTTTTTTTAGAACTCAGCTCTGCAATTGCAATAATAGATTCAAATTTAATGGCAAGATTTGAAAACATCCAACAATAATTTAACTAAATTAAGCAATAAATTTAAAACTAATAAATTAGTGAGAGGGCTATGTTTAGCCCATTTGGTTAAAGATGGTATATGAATATACTCCGACACTATTCATTTAAAAATAATTTCTTAAAAAACTATAATTCTGGACAGATTTATGTTTAATCCATTTGGATGGAGATAAGCTACATTCGGTTTGGGTTGGGTGGGTTTTCATGGTTAATAATGGACTAATGCTTCCGAGATTGGTGACCTTGCTTGCATATGTGATTCGAAAAAAAGGATGAAGAACACGAACCCGACGGTCTTAATACTCGAACTTGAATACAATTAATGTCGTGGACTTTTAATTAAAATGTCCCTCGAATTCATCTACAACATTCACAAAATAATTGTGATCATTATATAAAGTAATTTTTTTTTTCATGACAAAGTGTTGGGAGTATTTGTGCTCACCGGTCATCATTAAATTAAGAGTAGTGCTACACTTACAATTTATTTGTACTAATTTTCTCATAGAGATAAAGTTCACCAACATGTGAGTTTCATTTTTATTCTAGATATAATACGAATGATGGTACAAATAATTGTTAAGAATATCATTTTTGCTAAACTAAAGTGTGCGCTCACCACCATTGTATAAGAGTGCCATGTGTCCTATTAATTGCTTCAAATTTTTTCTTCATTGTCGTTGGATATGTTAAATCAAAAGTAAGGCATTTATATATCATACGACTAACTCAATTTTTAAATTGAAAAAGACACTAATATTTAGTCTAAACGATATGATTGGCAAGGGGAATCCCAACTAACTCAAAAGTTGAGGAATTCAAGTGCTTCAGAATGAAGTACATAATATGTACCTCTTAATTAAGTGGTTTTACAACTTAACACCGTTTCTAAGTATTTTCTAGCAAACGTAATAAAAATATTGTTTTTTATTGTTAGAAAACCCTTTTAGCGTTGTTTCAAAAGTAGTTTCAAACGCATAAGAGCTCGTTTGGATGTGTTTTTAAAATAACTGAAAGCGCTTTTAGTAAAAATATTTTTGGAACCAATCATTGGTAAAAATATAAGTAAATCTTGAAAAAGTACTTAAAGTACTTCCTGGAAGAAGCACATAATTGGTGATTCTTGCAGAAAACGCTTAAAGTGCTTTTGAAACCCAAAAATATTTTCTCTAAAAGCGCTTTCAACCATTTTAAAAGCACATCCAAACGAGTTCTAAGTTATTGATGTTTGTTTGATTATTTATTTTGACTAATTTACTCTTTGTACATTCTTTTTTATCTTTAGCATAATAAGTACGAATTCAAAAGTTTCACAAACCTGTACTTGAGTTTGTAGAAACTAAACTCACATATATCCGATCGGTTCATCTAGGGAGGTTTCTACTCCGCTAACGCTATAATTCGGTCAGGGTGAAATTTTAGGACACGATAGATTATATAGTAAGAAAAATACTTGTTAGCTAAAAAATAGATAAAATTAGAAAGTGCAAATTGATTCACAATGCATCACTTTTTAGGAGTTTTTATTACAAGAGTATATTGATCCAAGATAACTCCCTTAATACTATAGGAAGGAAACTTACGAGTATCGACCCAAGCACGTATTTAGCAAACATGCCCTACTAATCCACCCTAAAACCCACTGGATATTTAAGCTAATCGATACTTTTAGGATCATTCCTAGGTTCATCAGCACACCAAATTTGCACTTAATCTAAATCGGTCTCGACAGAAACCATCAAACACAGAGAACATTCCTTTCCATTTTTAGAGCAACACAAAGTACCATTAGTTAAAAGCAACATTTTTGTTATTTAAACACACCACCACTACCATCAAATCGCATCTAGCTCCCAACATATACTAATACATAACCTAATACGAGAGAGAGACTTAATCTAACTAGTTTCTTTAAGAGAGCAGAGAAGGATTTGGCGATCCTAACCCAGCCGTCCCCTCTCTACTAAAGCTAGCTATAATATTTCATATAGGCTTCAATATTGGCAAGGGTTTCTTGACCTTGGAAGCAATTATACTCCGGCATTATTGGAATATTAACCGCTGGCGATGGTGGTTGCACTGAACCAGCAGCACTAACGAAATTGCTGTGAGCGAACAAATCATGAGTCTGCTGATGATGCTGCGGGGGAAGCTGATCAAAGCACCCAGTTGGATGAAGACCATGACGATGAGCTGGAATGTCCATCAACATGGACGGTGATGGATCATGGTGATCGTCCACAGAGTTGATCATGCTCTGGTGAAGCCATATCTGAGTCTTGAGGAACTTCACATAGTGGATAGCCTCCTCCAGCATGGACACAGTGTCAAGCTTGGTCCCACCAGGAACCAAGCTCTGCAAGATCTTGAACCGGTCACTGATCCTGTGCCTCCTCTCGCGAGCAGCCACGCTCTGTGGATCAGTGGACAGCCTCACTCCTTTGCTTTTGTTCTTCCCACCACCACGATTGTTTTTTGTCACGGAAGAAGACGATTTAGAGAAATTATTTGAGCTAGAGTCATTAGTAGCAGTGAAGTAGTCCATTTAGCTAGCCAGGCACAGTAAACCGTAGCTATTTGTTACTTGAATCTGGGCTTTTGTGGCTAGCTAGAACTTGGTAGGAAGAAGTGCTTTTGGGCACGTATTTATAGATAGGGAAAGATGGATTGTGGATTTCTTTATTAATTTGATGATTTTGAATGAAGGGGAAGGAGAGATGGAGAGAGATGTCGTCATGTAAGTCAGCCAATCTTTGGCGCAGGATTCGGGTGTCTACCTAGGGTCCTATATAGAGGCCCAGGAGTTCTTTAGCCTAAGCAAAAGGCTTCCTTTGCTTTTTGCTTCTCTTTTAATTTCTTCAAATTATTATTATTATTATTTTAGCATTTGATGGATATTATACATTTGTACTATATACACATTTATCTAAAGTGACTTTGTAGTATGCTAGTATTGTTTTGTGAGTTTTTTTTTTTTTTTCACAAGTATCATATAACATGTTATAAGACGGATTCTTTTATTACTAATTGAAAACACCTCCCTCCAAAAACAAGGAATAGTGCCTCTGAACCAGTCGGCAAGAGAGAGTGAGAGAGGGTCCGGTGTCTTGTTGTTAGGGTTGGAGTCCAATTGGCTTTTCGTGGCTGGTCAGGAATGAAGGGAAAGACTAAAGAGAGAAGTCGGGGGTAGGGGTCCTTTTTTATGAAATCTAAGTGGATGTTACCTAGTTGCAGGTGTGTCTAAATCCGAGGACCAAATCCTTGCCGGGCTTTTAAATTGTACGATTATGCTTTTTATAATTTTTATCCTTAGGATATACACTGTTTTCTGAAAGAGATATACTATTCATGTCCCCTCAATTGCACCTCTTTAGGAAGAAAAAGAAAAGGATTCGAGGTCTTATCATCAGCTCTTCTTTTGAAGATAGTTTTTTATCAAAAATTGCTTCAACTAGTCCTACGATTCAAGCTAGATCCCCAAACACACCCGTTGAATATTGTCCTTGAATATTTAACCCGATTCTCCATAATTAATACTATACGTACAATATTCTAGATAAGAAATTTGTTGAATCAATGTGTTACGTTGTATGCTTATTTTTTTCTATCTCTTAAATTTCATATCGTAATAATACTTTTAAATTTCTTCATTTACATTTGAAAGAATCACATTTTGATAAGATTTTCTCTTAGGAGTTAGACAATTCTTTGTGTGAATTAATTCAAAAATTTTAAAAGAGAAATTTTCTATAATATTTCATCCATGATGGCACATAGAAATTATTTGGTAAAATTATATTAGACTTGCATATACATGTTGTTAGCTCAAAATTTTGAGTACGAGTAACATTAATTGTTGTAACGATAGTATATTTGTACTTGTGTAAACAACTATCAAAACAAAAGAACACATTTATTGGAAATCAAATTCTTTATATATAAATATATATCATAATTTTCGATCAAGTTACCATTTTAATTCAGGATGAATGCAAATTCTTTAGCCCTAACTAGTTCACATGCATGGAAATTATTTGCTATATGAACAACACTATGGAATGTCGTGACGAATCATTTTTTTCAAGAAAAAAAAAATCACAACACTATCAATGTCCCCCCATTCCAATGGGCATAGAAGAACACATTGATACATTCACTACAAGTACCGTTTCAATTGGTAGATTCAAAAAATTTTGCATTCAGCAGTGCGAATGATAGATTGTTGCTTTCCCACATAAAAGATAAAAGCAAGTATGAAAACAACTATTAAAAGAAGCAACCGAACCAGGTGGGGCTGGGGGGTCCCTAGCAGGACACATCAGGCTCCAGTTTAATTTGACAATGGGGGTGGGTAGAACCCCAATTATTCTTACTTGTTCAAAAGAAAATTACCTGCTTTATCTGTCTTCGTCAAACCAACATCAGTCACAAACAGATGATGTATGAGGTGATAGTTTTGACCACATATATATTATGTTAACATAAAATTTGTTTCGGATTTTGTATTTGAACGCCATCATACCTCTCGTTGTGTGTATGGCTGATCTCTATACAAATTAAGGATGTGAACAAATAAATACAATCAGTATTAAGTCTGTCTAGCTAACCTATGAATGTGCATGCATGTAGAAGTTGTCTATGTGGACAAAGGCGAAGCCAAAAATTTAATGAAGTGGGATAACTTACAGAATCGAAGCTCATTTTCGTGACAAATAAAAGTAATTTGTTCGACTTGTTACAAAATTTGGCACATTTTTCTCTAATATTTTCTTTACGTATTGTATTAAGAAGCTTCATATAAAGTTCCCACACGGAAAAAGTGAGAGCGGGCACGTGCCCTTGGAGAAAACATAAAACATTACATTTTACAAAAATATGAAGAGAAAAAACAAGGAACATATATATTATTCCACTGTCCACACGTGCTGGGACGGAGGGAGTTGGTAACCTGCGGATTAGCCACTTGATGTTTGAGTGTTGGGCCCCGTGAAGATTGGAAATGGAAACATCGACATCATATGGAGGGATGACTTACTATTGAGGAAAAGTAAGTTACTGTTACGAGGCCGGCAGGAATGGTTTTTAGCTTTATAAGGTGAATACAGTGCACAGGGTTTTTTACCGTTGCTGCAGTTTTTGAGTAACAGAAACGTTACGAAACGTCTTCTGTGTTGCCCCAGCTGCTTCATATGCTTTGTTTTTTCACGGTGTTACACTCATCCTTCAGAGTCTCAAACCCTCTCCTCCTTCCATACATCTCTTTCTGCATTTAATGGAAGTTGACTTGTTCTTACTGCATTATGCTGTTTTCGGCACCGATTCGGTAAAAGTAGAAGAATTAAGAAGAGCGCACGCAAGTATAAGAATCACGGAACTCTTGCTCCGCTCTCAGACTAAAATACACATCATTTTAATTTAACCAACTTATGAAATATTGGCTTTTGAGTTGACATTATCACATAGAATTTATTACCTGAAAAAGTTGGTTTAGTAGTAATTATCTCAGAACGTTGGAGAATTTAAAAGTTTGAGTACCCAACTCCCCACTGTTAAAAAGAAATAAAATGAAGTTTATAGTTGGACAACTTGACATATTTGTTTAGCAAATTTACACACATACATATATATTAAAGAATAAATACGAATTACTATTCAGGTTTATTAATATTTTTTTTTAATTTGTAAGTAAGAAGCATCAGGTTCGACTCACATGAATAACAATGACATATAATGTTTGTAATGAGATTTATACCTAATTATAGCTAGTTTATTATGCGGTTTTAACTCCATACATTTTTCTCTTCAGAATGTGTGCAAAAGTAAAAGAATACATAATAAACATGATAAATTTGATAGTATAAGTTGAACTTAATTTGACAACGGTAAAACATACATACATATATAGAAATGTTCTCTTGATCGACCAAAAAAGGCACTATCACTTACATATAGTTATCTCATCCAATTAAGTTTAAACTCATATTTCAACAAAAAAATAGTACATAAACATGATAATGTAACGACTTATAGCTCATTATCTGCTTATAATCATTATGCACCTCATTCTTATAAATCTATTCAATGACCGAGTCTGGCATGCAAGTTCTTAAGCGCCTACTTTATTTTGATTTTCAGATGATATCGTTTTACGTGTAAAGTTCGAGAAATAAGTCTTCCAAAATTCAGTTTCAGGACTGCAAAAAACAATAAATTCCTGAAAGAAAATATGAGCTGCGCCTGCAAAGAAAGATGAGTAATGTTAAGGAGACTAAGGGCTGGTTTGGTATTGCTATGTTTTGAAAAAAAAATTGTTTCTGTTGTGCTGTGAGAAAAAAGTGGCTGTAAAATAAAGCTGTAGAGTATTTGGTAAACTTTTTTGTAAAAATTTTTGGAGTAGTATATAGTATTTGGTATTTTTTGTAACAGAGTGAAACCGTTTTCAAACTGGGTTTGTGCTTTTGTTTGGTTTTTTTCAAAAACTGTAAAAAAAGCTGAACTGAATGTTACCAACAAAAAAAACTTTTTTGATAATTAACATAACCTATAAATTTATAAATAAAGTTTTGAAAATTAACGGACATGAAAGTTGATGATTGATTTAGTACTTAAACGTTGATAAACATGCTTATTTCTATTGGTGACATATCATTTAATTTGTAAATTTAAATTTTAAATTTTATCTATCTAACGTTACTCGAAAAAGATTATATACTAAATCTTGTTTATACGAATTGGCCTTACAACGCATGATCAATGGAGACGTATCAGAACCGGGGCAGTCCACAGTTCTGATCTCCTACTATGCCCTATCACTTCACCAGTAACCAAACATACATACATAACACGTGGAATGTTTTCACAATGTGGTAAGACAACACGTGCCTGCCTGATGGAACTGTTTTTCTTTTGAGTAGATGCTCAAAATTGTCAAACACCCTACAGAGTACAGGGCAGGATTGGATGTTACGCTGCTTTTAGGCACGCCATTACCAAATAGACCACTCCAAATGAGTTTTTGTCAGTCGGTACACACCCACTCCCACAGTTCCATAACCAATAATTGCAAATTACTTACCTCCTAATCATTTTTTTTCCTTCTTTTGAAGTTATGTGAAGCTATGTTTTTGTACTCCCTAATCACAAAATCAGAAACTTTACGTGATTAAATATTTTATTGGATCCGACACTGCATGCCTGCATCCGAAGCGCGCCTGTTATCTTTTGATAGGGCAATAAACCCATAACTCCAAGTGAATATGATTTCTGCATAAAATAATCATCATTGTTGACGACTCCTCCAACTAAGGATGGACAACGGTTATAGTGGGCGGGTAATCGCGGTTATTTACCTATAACCGTTTATGCTCATACCCACATAATCATTTACCCGTTGGGTAATTGCCTAAACGGTTATACTTATACCTATAACCGTTTATAAATAGTTAACCATACCCATAACCGCATACCCATTTAACCGTAACCGTTTAATACCCTTTTATCCATTTACCCTTTTTAACCCGTTTATCTTCTTTTTTTTACCATTAC